ATTGGGAGACTTGCTGAGCACAGTTATTGGGAAGAAGAGTTGCTGAGCACAGTTATTGGGAAGACTAGCTGAGCACAGTTATTGGGAAGAGTTGCTGAGCACAGTTATTGGGAAGACTTGCTGAGCACAGTTATTGGGAAGAGTTGCTGAGCACAGTTATTGGGAAGACTTGCTGAGCACAGTTATTGGGAAGACTTGCTGAGAAGAGTTATTGGGAAGACTTGCTGAGCACAGTTATTGGGAAGAGTTGCTGAGCACAGTTATTGGGAAGACTAGCTGAGCACAGTTATTGGGAAGAGTTGCTGAGCACAGTTATTGGGAAGACTTGCTGAGCACAGTTATTGGGAAGAGTTGCTGAGCACAGTTATTGGGAAGACTTGCTGAGCACAGTTATTGGGAAGACTTGCTGAGAAGAGTTATTGGGAAGACTTGCTGAGCACAGTTATTGGGAAGAGTTGCTGAGCACAGTTATGGGAAGACTTGCTGAGCACAGTTATTGGGAAGACTTGCTGAGAGTTGCACAGTTATTGGGAAGACTTTTGAGCACAGTTATTGGGAAGACTTGCTGAGCACAGTTATTGGGAAGACTTGCTGAGAAGAGTTATGGGAAGACTTGCTGAGCACAGTTATTGGGAAGACTTGCTGAGCACAGTTATTGGGAAGAGTTGCTGAGCACAGTTATTGGGAAGACTTGCTGAGCACAGTTATTGGGAAGACTTGCTGAGCACAGTTATTGGGAAGACTTGCTGAGCACAGTTATTGGGAAGACTTGCTGAGCACAGTTATTGGGAAGAACTGCTGAGCAACAGTTATTGGGAACACTTGTGAGCACAGTTATTGGGAAGACTTGCTGAGAAGAGTTTGAGGGATTGGGAGCACTTTGGGAATGAGTGCTGAGCACAGTTATTGGGAAGACTAGCCTGAGACACCAGTTTGGGAATGAGTTGCTGAGCAGTTATTGGGAAGACTTGCTGAGCCACAGTTATTGGGAAGAGTTGCACAGTGAGCAGCAGTTATTTGGGAAGATAGTTACTAGCTGAGCCACAGTTATTGGGAAGAGTTGCTGAGCACAGTTATTGGGAAGACATAGCGAGCACAGTTATTGGGAGAGTTGCTGAGAACAGTTATTGAGGTTCTAGGGAAGACTTGCTGAGCACAGTTATGGGAAGACTTGCTGAGAGTTATTGGGAAGACTTGCTGAGACAGTTATTGGAAGAACTTGACTGAGTCAGTTTATTGGGCAGACTTGCTGAGCACAGTTATTGGGAAGAGTGCTGAGACTATTGGGAAGCTGAGCACAGTTTATTGGGAAGAGTTGCTGAGTTATGGAAGAGTTAGAAGAGTTGGGAAGACTTGCTGAGGAAGAGTTATTGGGAAGACTTGCTGAGAAGAGTTATTGGGAAGACTTGCTGAGAAGAGTTATTGGGAAAGACTTGCTGAGAAGAGTTATTGGGAAGACTTGCTGAGAGGAGTTATTGGGAAGACTTGCCTGCAGAAGAGTTATTGGGAAAACTTGCTGAAGAATCGGGAGTTTGGAGAAGAGTAGTGGGAAGACTTGCTGAGAAGAGTTATTGGGAAAGACTTGCTGAGAAGAGTTAGTGGGAAGACTTGCTGATAAGTAGTTATTGGGAAGACTTGCTGAGAAGAAGTTTAGTGGGAGGACTAGCTTGAGCACAGTTATTGGAAGACTTGCTGAGAAGAGTTAGTGGGAAAGACTAGCTGAGCACAGTTTAGTGGGAAGCTTGCGAGAAGAGTTTATTGGGGAAGACTGCTGAGAAGAGTATGGGAAGACTTGCTGTTTAAATGTTGACCAGAGAACCCAGTCGTGTCTGTTTGTATCATAGAGGATTGGAACCAGTCATGTTGTCCTTGATGATGTTTGACCTAGAACCGCATCTGATTTCGCCCCATGTGAGTTCCTGACCAGAACCCGTCTGTGTCAGAAAAAATAGTTGACCGGCACCCGCCCTGTTGTTCCTGTTGTGTTGACCGGACGGCCTGATCTGTGTCTGTTTGTTTGACGCAGATACCCAAGTCGTGTCGGCCTGAGTGTTGACCAGAACCCCGAGTCTGTTCTGTTTGTGTTGACCGGAACCCGTCTGTCTCAGATTTGTGTTGACAGGAACAGAGTTGCATGCATGTCTGTTTGTGTTGCGAGGAGACCAGTCTTGTCTGTTTTTTTGTGTTTCCATGAAACCAGACTGTGTCGTTTGTGTTGACAACGGACCCAGTTTGTGACTAATAAGATTTGAAAGCAGAACCCAGTCCTGTGTCTTGTTGATTTTGACCAGAACCCAGTCTGTGTCTGTTTGTGGTTGACCAGAACCCAGCTCTGTCTGTCTGCTGTTGACCCGAACCCAGTCTGTGTCTGTTTGTGTTGGACCAGAACCCCGTCATGTGTTGTTTATGTTGACCAGAACCCCAGTCTGTGTCGTTTGTGTTGACCAGAACCAGTCTGTGTCTGTTTGTGTTGACCAGAACCAATCTGTGTTGTTTGTGTGACCAGAACCCAGGTCTTGTGTCTATTTGTGTTGACCAGAACCCAGTCTGTGTCTGTGGCTTGACCAGACCCAGTAGGTGTCGTGTGTTACCAGAACCCAGTCCGTGTCTGTTTGTGTTGGACCAGAACCCAGTCTGTGTCTGTTTGTGTTACCAAACCCAGCGTCTTGTTTGTGTTGACAAGAAAACCCCGTTGTGTCTGTTTGTGTTGACAAAGGGCCCGTCTGTTTTTTTTGTTTGGCCAGAACCCCGTCTGTTCCCGTTTTGGGTTTCAAAGGGCCCAGTCTTTGGGCCCGT